CTGTCAAAAGTATCAGAAACCAGATATTATCAATATTAAAACTAATATCGAAACCAGATACTCATTTGTACTACTGATACTAAAATAGTCACATTCACAGTACAACGTCACCACATGGCAGATATTTAGTACTTTTTGAGTGCCTCAGTTGTTTACTACGTTGTATTTAAGACTGGTCCCTACACTGAACAGCACCAAAAGGACAATTCTGCACATTTTTTGTAGATCCGAGTAGCACTCCTGCCCCCAAAGCTTTGCGTAGTCACATTCACAGGACAGAAATGAACCTTTGGAACAGCTTCAGAATGATCTTGAGCTGTTTAAGAGCAAATACAAGAGCAGGAATGTCACAATAACCAAAATATTGTGATATCGTATCGTCAAAAGCCTCACAATAATATCATGGACTGTCACAATATACCGAATTACAAGTTCCTTTGCTTAAATGCATGGTTTTATAGCAGCAACAGCTTATGAACATCAGGAACTACGTATCCCATGATTCATTTCAGCGCAGACAACATGAAGAAACATGTTTTTTACTTGAATTTTTGGGATTATGATGGAAATAATTCACACCAAAATCACGCAGAGGTATTTTAAAAAGCAAAAAAATGTCCTATCTTCAAAATATTGCAATAAATATCGTACCGTGAGACGCATATCGTGAGATTTGGATCCCTAGCACAGACTAATAAACGCCGATGGACCACGGAGGGAATCCACAGATATAAAACCACATAAGAAAGTACTCATATTTAATGTTAAAATCACATTCTGTTGTCTAAAGAAAGAGCTCCGAGTATCGAATCTCTTCCTTGGAAACGTCAGTATCGTGACAATGACAACACTGCTATCTATTCATCTCCTATAACAGCCCAAACGGCAGCTTTTTTTTGGGGCGAGAATAGAGGAAGTAGAGGAGGGGAGAAAGAGAGCAGCGAGAAAGTGGGAACAAACAGAGCGTTCCATTGAGGTCGGGTCCACAGACACATCATTGAGTGTGACGCGATGATTCATGTCAGCGGCCGCAGTCTTCATACGAGTCCCCCCCCCCCTCCCCAACCGGCCCGGGCTCTCATCACTCACACCCACACGACAGCCGAACTTCCTCCAGGACACCGCAGTCGAGATAACAGGTGCTCGACTCAAAACTCAAAACGTAACAAGCACCTGAACCCGCTGTTGGACGTGACAGCTGGAGCTCAGTTCCTCCGTTAAATATTGGAACTGGAATTGGTTTTAGGTCACAAATTCTTATTATAGTCTCGTATAAGAAGTTATTAATAAATGACTGCGTGTTTTTTTTTTTGCATAGTTTATTTTTTATTTATCGTTTTTATTTCACTACAGTATTAAAACTTGTCTCCTACACTTTAATGTCCATGAAGATAAGCAGGTTACGGGTCAGATCTGTGGAGAGGTTGTTTGATAGTTTCTTTGTTTTGTTTTTTTTGTTCTCGAGTAAATGTAAAATGGATATACTGTGGAACATTTCAGGCAAAGTAATAGCATCGCCATGGAGACAATAAGCAGATGGTGATCCTAGTTTAGATGTACTGTAATACATATGGTAGGTTTGTCCTAGTTCTTATTTTATTTTGTTTTAATTCATTTGTTGTCATTTGCTTAGTGTCCTTGGTATGACCTCACTGCAGTCAATATATAGTCCTGGTTTAGTCCTGGTTTAATCCTGGTTTAGTCCTGGTTTAGTCCTGGTTTAGTCCCGGTTTAGTTTAGTCCTGGTTTAGTCCCTGGTTTAGTTTAGTCCCGGTTTAGTCCCGGTTTAGTCCCGGTTTAGTCCCGGTTTAGTCCCGGTTTAGTCCCGGTTTAGTCCCGGTTTAGTCCTGGTTCAGGGCTGTTTAAATCCTGGTTAAATTCTGGTTTAGTTCTAATTCGGTTCTGTTTCAGTCTTTTTTCAGTCCTGGTTTAGTCCTGGTTCAGTCCTGGTTTAGTCCTGGTTCAGTCCTGTTTAAATTCTGGTTTAGTTCTAATTCAGTCCTGTTTCAGTCTTTTTTCAGTCCTAGATCAGTCCTGGTTTAGTCCTGGTTCAGTCCTGTTTAAATCCTGGTTAGATTCTGGTTTAGTTCTAATTCAGTTCTGTTTCAGTCTTTTTTCAGTCCTGTTTAGTTAGTCCTGGTTCAGTCCTGGTTTCCTGGTTTCCTGGTTAAATTCTGGGTAGTTCTAATTCAGTCCTGTTTCAGTCTTTTTTCAGTCCTAGATCAGTCCTGGTTTAGTTCTGGTTTAGTCCTGGTTATATTCTGGTTAAGTTCTAATTCAGTCCTGGTTCAGTCCCCTTTAAATCCTGGTTCAGACCTGGTTCAGTCCTGGTTCAGACCTGGTTCAGTCCTGGTTAAATTCTGGTTAAATTCTGGTTCAGTTCTACTTCAGTCCTGGTTCAGTCCCATTTAAATCCTGGGTAAGTCCTGGTTCAGTCCTGTTTAAGTCCTGGTTAAATCCTGGTTAAATCCTAGTTCAATCTTGGTTAAATTCTGGTTAAATCCTGGTTAAATTCTGGTTCAGTTCTGGGTCTGTCCTGTTTCAGTCTTTGTTCAGTCCTGGTTGAATCCTGCTTAAATCCTCGTTAAATTCTGACTCAGCTCTAATTCAGTCCTGGTTCAGTCCTGGTTGAGTCCTGCTTAAACCCTGGTTAAGTCCAAGCTCAGTCCTGGCTCCATCACGTCACTACACGCACGCACACACACACACACACACACACGCACACACACACAGAGAGCGCCCGCAGGCTCCCCCTCCGCTCTCAGGTATTCCGACCACAACACGGCCACTTAAGGGGACTTCAATTACTTCATAACGCAAATCCACTACAGAATATCACTTGTCCCTGTCACTACAATGCTCGAAAACGTAATGAATACCTTTAGTGCCAAGGTCGGAGTAAGTTTATCCATTAGCGAGCCGTAATATTGACAAGGCTTGGCTCTGCGGGTCCAAAGCGGAGCGTAATGTTGTATAGTCGTAACGTTGGCCGACAGACAGGGGGTAGTATGTCAATGTGAGGTGCTTACAGGCCGATAAAGGCTGCTGTTCCAATTCCTACAGGCAGCCGGTGATGGACAGCGCGCAGGGAGAGACAGAAAGAGAAAGAGAAAGAGAGTGAGGAGAGAGGAGGGAAACAAGAGCGGGAGAGCGGTGCCAAAGCTAATACAATTTTAAACAGTGTGGTATGAATGGGGAAGCTGCACAGGAAAGACAACTGCAGGCCAAGCTACTCGTACTATCAGTCTGCGGAGTAACTATAGCTCGCAAATCGTAAATATGCATCAAAATATGATAAGGAAATGGCAAAAAACCTCTTCGTACTGGAGTTACCTGCACCAATTTTACAAAACATCTATTTTAATAATGGTTTAGCGAGTAGTTTTCTCACTTTCTATTGATCTAAATGATGTTTTTGAGTGCTTTTGAATCAATATATTCGTGTTGTTACTGTAGTAGTTTGGTCAAATGTAGTAGTTTTTAAATGTGCAATAGAAATAAACTCTGACTTGACTTAAAAAACACATGAATCGAGAAAAATCTTGAGTCAAACTTGTGGTACGATGATAAAAACCTAAGCTTAAGGTGTGATTTTGGTTAAAACTATGTGAAAAAAGTCAGTCAATTTCACCTAAAATAGAAGTACAAGGAGTAGAATAGAGTAAACAATAATGGTGTGATGTTTTTTTCCCATAGCTTCAGAGTAATTTGTACCTATATGTGTTGAGCCAGCCCCGAGAAAATAGATGTATTCAGTGCGGAGTGCAGGTGTAGGGGAGCCGGGGTGGGGGCGGAGGAGCTTATAGTACAAAGTCTGTCTGCGCTATGAGGGGTCTGCATTTTGTATAGGCTGGAGCAGCTGCTTTCTGCATGAGAGGCACAAGCGCATTGGAGTCAGGCAACTGAGCACCGAGAGGAAACTGGACAGGACTATTTTGTATCACCAGGAGTCTACCACAACTGCCCACTAAACTGCACAGATCAGAACATAAATCTACAGCAGTAACCGAAGCCAACGTGTTAAAATGTCACTAGATGCATTTCCAACTAACTCTGGTACAAAAGGGAGTAGTGGGTCTAATCTAAATCTAAAGGAGAATAGTCAAAGCTCAAAGCAGGTTCAGTGTATATTTATTTTAGTCTATGTGCTTCCTCACAATGATCAGGATTATATGATTAAGGCTAAAAAAGGGGCAAAGTAGCTGCTCCATAAGATATGAGGTGAACACGGACGCGCCACAGACTTTGGTTAAGGTGTGAGGATGAACCTGTCTGCTGGAGACGCGGGAGCCACATGGAGACTGAGCGGTAACAGGGAAAGTGCGTTATCCACGAATCACACTGTGGATACAACTCTTAAAGCGACACGCAGACTGTGACTTTAAAATACTGGAGAGTGGAGCTGGCACGTTTGAAGGCTGAGATGTAAAATGTGTCTGACAGCTCCGTTTGAGAGAGGCAATCCCATGTGGATCCAGATCCGTGTCAAACACGCTGCAATACAAAACTTCCCTACACCCTTTTTATGTTAATGTCCTTAAACAGAAACGCTGGCACCTCACGAGCAGCATTCAGCCGGTTTAATCAGAACAGCAATGTCCTTACTGATTTGTTCCTGAAGGTACAGCACAAGTACAACGCGAGTCCCGAGTCTCCCGGTAGTTTTAACCTTCGCAGTACATGTGCTCGTGAAAAACGGTGGAGAAATGCGAGGACGGGCTCGTGATGGAATCAGAAAATAGAGATAATTTATAAAAGCTCGCGTCCAAAATGACTGGATTTTGAACATTTCCTCTCGGGGACAGCGTGGTCCAAACGGGCAGGTTCGCCCGAGTGCGCAGAGCGACCATGGCGCAGCGAGAGCAGGTGCAGCACACCTCCTGTCACCTGGATGGTGCAGTGGCAAACTCAGGGCAGCGCGCGGACAAACCGCCCGCGAGCACGCTGCCTCGGTCCGGAGAGAGTCCACTGACGCCTCGGGAGCAGCCCGTGGTCCTTACCTGTAATCTGTGCAGATAGATCCACTTCACAGCCGCAGCCGCATCGACACTGCGGAAAGAGGCACGTCCAGAGCAGTCCCCAACTCCGCACGCTCCCCAAAACACGCAAGATCAAAATAAACGGTAAATCCGGATAAAACGGCTAGTCCAGTTTAAATCCCCGGTCCAAGTAGAGTAAGAAGAAGGCGGATCCTGTTCGGGACTTCCAGCAGCATCCCCCGCTCAGCAGGACCGTAGCACGCCGCTCTGAGTACCCTGAAAGCCGGTAGCAGAAGCTCCCATTCCCCGACGAGGACGCACTTGGTATGCCGCTGGAAAAGCCGCTGCGCCGCACACGGGATAGGCTACCGCAGGAGGAGGCAGTGCCCGGGAGCGCGTACGATGTGACTCAGTGCGGTGCTCTCGCTCAACTGAGGTGGAGAGAGTGCTGCAGCAGAGTGCAAAAGACGGGGGGGCGGGGAGGCGGAGGAGGGAGGGGGGCGAGGAGAAGACAAGAGCGCCCAGGAGTTAGGAGCTTTCAACGGGACTTGGGATGGCGCTGAGCCCGCTGAAAACGGCCACAAGAGGAGCACGGGTCTGTCGCTGGCCGCAGTAGCACACCGGAGGCGATTGGCTGCAGCATGGGCTCGGTTTGGGTTGGGTCAAGTCCTTGGCTACTACCCTAAAGAGTCTTATTCAGCATCACAGTCGACTGGAGCGTTAAAATGCCCGTTTAAACCCTTTACAAATGCCTAAATGTTTCTCTAATATTTCACTTGTGCATGTTAAAAATGTTTAACAAATCAGTTTATAGGCCTGTATATGTGTTAAAAACATTATAATTAACCCAGATATGTTTTATATTTACTATATTTTATTGTATTTTACTACAAAATCCAGCCTAGAATGGTGCTTTATTCAACTTTTACTATTTTTTGCACTTCATTTTGTCATTTGAATTTGAACATTATCATCTACTACATCTAGGTTACGTTATCCGTTGCCAAAAATCTCTAAATTAAGATAAAATGTTATGAAAACGACATCTTAAAAGTCAAAGGGGTGTCTTCATACAAACGCACGACAATAGGAGGGTGAAAGCATCAGATCAGGCGTTTGAATCTAATCTGGGGATCATTTAAAGACAGAGATTAAGCAACACGGGAGCGTAATTAGGACACTCGCATAGTTACAGGGGATTAAAAATCTGCATTTTTGTCCTTTGATGATCTTTTAACACAATTCACAAGTGTATACCCCTCCCACTTTATGCAATTAATATGCTTAAAATCTCATTATGTAACCGTGCTCCTAATGAATAAGTGTTAATAAGGGCAGATATGTTATATTAATGTTCTCTGTTTACCTAAAGGACAAAAAACGCTGCCATTATCCAAATTATCCCATATGCTGCGGTGTTTTAGCCCACTCTAAGACACTGTTTAAACTCTACTGCATAAATAAGGATATAACACACATTTTTAAAGAGTGTTATTGTGAATATCTTGTAATATCTTGTCTGCTTTTGCCTATTTTTTGTGAGGAACCAGATCCACAAATTAACCCTATGGATATGGCATTGGTTTCTGTTGCAAACGTAACAACGCCCTCTGGTTTGTCCCTTTTAAATAAACAGATAAATAATAAATAATATAATTGTACCTTGCAGGAAATTGGTCTTCTCCATTTGACCCATCGTTCGGTGACGCGGGGGTTACAGCCAGGAGTAGAGCGCATCAGCTGGAACCTAGAGCTTTAAAAAAAAATAAAATAAATAAAAAGTATTCTAATGAAATCCCGACAAAGTTCATCCATTTTATCCAAATTAATGTTTAAATAGCCAAGTTGTGCTGCTTTTCATTGTCTAAAGTGTCCTAATGTCCCCTTTTTTGTCGAGCCAGTATGCCCCGGGTAAGTATTTTTTATTTAACTTTTACTTTTTTAAAATTTTTACAGCGCCCAAACTCATCAGAGACTCATCTATTTTCAAAAAAGCCCTGAAAACTCACCTGTTCCAAAACCAGAACTCCTGTTTATCTGTTTATTTTCATTTGCGTTTGTGTCTGTCCTGATCTACGAGAAGTGTTTTTGATCATTATTATTGCTGATTTTCACCTTATACTTTCTTAACTTTATTCTGATAACTCTATTTTTTCCTGCTGGTCGGCTCAGCTACCGGAAAGAATTATCTCTTGAGGATGAATAAAAGAAATTCTGATACCTCTGGGGTGTATTGTCAAGTGAAATGAAGTGATATTATTTAAAACAACGCGGCTCACGTTAATGAGACAAAACTTTTGCAGCATTCTTGGGTTTTGTGAGGATGCACCAGGTTTGTTCTTGCTGCTGCAGTCGTCTCTCTTCTCTCTTTTTCTCGTCTCGTCCCTTCGTCTTCCTCCCTCTCTCTTTCTCTCCTCCTCCGTTTCCTCTGTGCCTGTGCATGTCGTTCCCAGGGTGGACCGTCGCTTTGAAACACTGCACCAGAGCCCCACCTACAGGCCAGACAAAACGCACATCACAACATCTACAGAGAGACAGGCACCAAACGCCACTCCAAGCACTTTTACGCAGCGGATCGCACGCAATAAAATGGATTTAAAAAGCACGATTTGCACCAGGTAAGTAACTAGTCTATGCAAAATACTGCCAAAATAAGCAACAACATAAGGCAGGCTGTTACTGTTTGGCTGGAAGTAACATAAACGCTTGTATTTCTAAACAGAGCAACGATTATTAGTGTCCAGTAATGCATAAATTACAGCGTTTTATCCTTTTTTTTATTTTACTAATGCTAAAAACAAAGCTACTAGCGGCAAATATTATCATTAATCACTGAAATACTAATTTATCTTAAGTTTTAAACAAAAATATGAGTATAGAAGTAGGATAGAAATAGGATTTTTGGTGCTTAGTAATAATAAAATTGTGCGTAAACGTGCGTAATTACGAAAAAACTTGTCAGTATAGTCACATTTTCTTTATGTTTTGGTGGTTTTTAAGCAGCATTATTGTGTTTTACCTTAACAAATGACAATGTATGCCTCGTTTAAGTGTTGGCATGTAACAAATTGGTCAAAAGTAAGGATATTTCTTGTAAAAAACTGGAGCAAATCACTGGTTTTGGACGCGAGAAGAGACTCAAGCTAGCTAAAATAAACGCTGCTAAATCTGCGTCAAAGCGTGGTTAATGTTCGCTAAACATGCGCACTGTAGAGCTGGGCAATTTAAGAAGGCGATAATCCATAAATTAAAACAATAATACGACAATAATTTGCACAATTTTACATGTTCTGACTAAAAAACAAGACTAAACCCGGGCTAAACCAAAATAAACCAACGTGGAATTAGGGTGTTTTTACTTCTTGCGCCAAAGTCTCGCGTGAGTTGACATGTTATACTTTATTTTATAAATTTTTAACAATAATTAAAAGCGATAATGATCACTAAAAGTCACAGAAGTCTGTAAGCATTTCGAGAAACTTACCCAGTCCAAAAAAAAAAAAAAAAAAAAAAAAAAAAACTCAGTCCAACATTTTCAGGGCAGGTTGAGTCACGTGATCTTGCACCTTTCTAGGATCGTAAACATAAATTTGTGAATATTTCTAAATAGCTTTTTATACATATTCATACATAGATTTTAATCTGCACTCCATCAAATATTAATTATATTTTAGCACTGTCTTTATACGGTTATTAAAAGTGGTTTGTTTTTTTCTGGGTTAGACCATATACACAGTCTATGGGTTTTCTTCTTTATTTTACGCTTGATGTAGATTTGGTTTGGTCCTGTTCTTGTCTGGGTTTAGTTTATGGGGCAAAACTCTAGCGTGACTTTGGTGCAAGTAAAAACACAACCTAATTTCACATTGGTCTATTCTGGTTTAGTTCAGGTTTAGACTTGTTTTTTAGTCAGAACATTTACATTTAACATTTCATACAAGACAAAAGAAGATATTTCTCCTCTTGCCCATTTTGCCATGGATTCTACCTGGACGACTGAGTGATTTTACACACATATCATCCTAGACTACAGCTTTACAAGTGATGTAACAGTAACCAAAATATTGTAAAATCATATCGTCCAGTGTTTCCATCTAGTATTGCAGAGTTTCCCAAACTTTTTTTCTGGGGACACATATTTTAAAAGTGACAAACCTTCACGATCCCAAAATAAAGGTGGATTTGACCATTACTGAACATTAATGAGGATATTTTATTGTTGGCTGAGTGATTGTGTGCGTAAAATAATTACAAAAAGATTAGAAATTATACAAAACATGTCTTAACATTTCAACATTTTTAATGAGGTAGGTGGAGCTGTCTGTGTTTTTGTAGCGTGTTCCAGTCCGAGGTGCAGGAGGAGAGCACAACACGTATATCAGGCCATAGGCAGAACTGTACATTGCAGACCTACATGCAGATTGTGACAAGGTGACCCAAAAAAAGTCTTTAGGAAACAATGTACTATTATATTCACAGTGTCACAATACATAACATATCATTAAATGTCACAGAAGTCTGTAAGCACTTAGAGAAACTTACCCAGTCCAAAAAAAAAAACAAAAACAAAAAAACTTACCCAGCCCAAGAGCAAAATTTTCAGGGCAGGTTGAGTCACGGGATCTTGTGCACCTTTCTAAGATCGTAAACATAAATTGGTGAATATTTCTAAATAACTTTTTATGCATATATATACACAGATTTTTAATTTGCGCTCCATCAAATATTAATTATATTTTAGCGTTGTCTTTATTTCCAGCTAAGCCTACTGGTTATTAGAAGTGGTTTGTTTTTTCTGGGTTAGAACATATATACAGTCTATGGGTTAGACTCCAGTTTCTTCTTCGTTTTAGTCCTGATGTAGACTTGGTTTGGTCCTGTTCTAGTCTGGGTTTAGTTCGTGGGGCGCAACTCAAGCAAGCGATTGAAAACACAGCCTAATTTCACCTCGGTCTATTCTGGTTTAGCCCAGGTTTAGTCTTGTTCTTTAGTCACAACATTTACATTTAACATTTCATACTAGACTACAACTTTACAAGTGATGTAACAATAACCAAAATTTTGTAAAATCATTCCGTCCAATGTTGGGGACCCATATTTTAGCGAACCCAAGTCAATAGACATTATCTGTAAATCACAAAATAAATGTGGATTTGACCATTATTGAAGATTAATGAGGATATTTTATTGTTGACTGAGTGATTGTGTCTCTCTGAACAATTAATATTACTCAAGTTTTAAACAATGAAAAACAGTAATTGAAGGAGCAATAAAAGGATCCATAAGTCGCCTATTTGAACATTAAATGTAGCCCATTTCTTTTTCTTTTCAACACTCAATTTAACCAGCAATATTGGAACAAAATAGTCATTAAAAAAGATACAAAAAGATTAGAAACTATACAAAACATCTTAAC